GGTGTCGGGGCTATGAAAATGAAGTATATGTTTGTTCAATTTTCTCAAAAACGGCTTGTGCTACAGTCAAAATTCTTTTGCCATTTTGATCTCTGAAATCTTGCGCATCTTTGCTCTAATGGTCCTCTGCTCTAAAAATATCAATTTTTTCAGCCATTTTCAAATAATCAAACGTTAACCCCAAATCTGATTCATCTGATTCTCACGATACTCGGTCTACGTCATCTACAGACAAGTAGACTAGCAGCTATATTTTGACTTTGTGTTGGCGTTCTGACTTGTGTAAAAGTACAAGTACAAGTTATTATTATTGTTTTTGGTTTTTTTTTTTTTTTTTTTTTGGTTCTCCACCACAGTGATGACAAATCAGAGATAAACGACAGCTCTTAATGAATCACGAATCCGACCAACAGATGGAGGAAATGATGACAACAGTGAGTCAGATCAGACATTAAGGCCAAAGTTTTTCAGGAAAACTAAATTATTCACTGTCTGTTGGCAAGGCAAGCCAAGGCAAATATATTTGCGTAAGAAAATTATCATACACAGAGGTCATTTAATGTGCTCAACCGAGATAGAAGCAGCATAAAAAATAGAAGCAAAAAGCGTAATATTATATTAATATTGGGGTAAAAAGAAAATGCATCTGTCCCGTGTATGAGCTGTTTCAAGGCTAAAATAGTATTAGTGGTCAAGTCAGTTGAATGTTTTTCCTGCAAAGGAAACTTGCATGTGAGAAAAAAACACTTCATATCAATTTGGTACGAAGCCAGAGTTTGTTCATTAATAAATCTGTTAAACAAAAACCTAATGTGTTAACGTGTTGTGCAAGAAGACCATAAACCAAAATCTATTGAATCTATAAACTGTACTGGTGCTTCCAAGTGCTTTCACTGCAGGATGACAGTTAGATAGATGACAATGACAACAAGTTGGAAGCTACAAAAAGGAACATTTTGTTAATTTAGCACTGTGCAGGTCATGATTTGTGACCTGCAAATGACTGTGGAAGACCTTCCAAAATGCCTTCAGAAAAGACAGAAGTGTGATCCACTGCCATTCCCTCCCGTTAAACACACTTCAGTTATGAAATGAAATGAAGTACAATGACGGGAAATAAAAAGCTTAAAGGAGGATTTATACATCTGGAGAAAACTCAGGTACAAGGTACAGTTCTGTCTGCTGCCTGCAGGTCTCGGCACTTCCTAAAATCCCAATTAGGGCAAAGTTGAAGAGTGACATCTGAGACCAAAATGAATATGTGAGAGGATCAGATTCAGAAAGTGAGATGGAGGTCAACATTTTAGATGGTGTTCCACACAAGCAGGTCAGCTATTTGTATTTCAGGACCTTGAATAGAGATTGATTTATCCACAGTGTTTAACAAGCCGTGTAGAGTAGCATTTGGGAAACATTACACTCTCCGTATGCCTTTTCAAATTTAGGTTGAATAGAAAGAGACCTTTTGTGACAGTAAGTAGAAAGGAGAGAGATAAAGACACTAAATCAGTCTTATCTCGGAGTCCCACACTCGACGGTCAGGGGTCGGCTCTCTTTTGTCCTCCGCTGACAGATAGACAGGGAGGCAGAGAGTCGTAAATCAATCCCACCTCTGCTCTAGCCTGCTGTGATTCAAACAACAGGGAGCCCACACATTTTACATTTCAAAACTCTTGGGCTTTGTTTTTTTTGCCAGCCACACCAAAGTAAGGACTGTTGTACGCCAAGCAACGTTCTGGAGAACATGGCAAAGCATTATGGGAACTGGACTGACTTAAGGCAGTGACTTAACTAGAAGTGCAGAAGAGTCTCCATGAGAATACCAGCCTACATCTGCTGCTTCTACACCGCTGAGTCTCTCCAGCGCAAACAGAAAGGCACACCACAGTATGTGGTTTCTGGAGATGTTTTTAAGTAAACTCGATTCACCAGTGTGAGTGCACCACAAACTTAAACATGGTTAGAATAAAGTACGCAATAGGGACATGGGGTTGACTACAGACACAAAGAGCGGCCTGACCTGTTCACCCCTTCACTCTCATTTCTGCTCACCACGTCAATGCTCTGACCTCTGGTGCGGCTAAAATACTCTTTAACCAGAGTCAACTCTCTAAATATTTGACGCTTTCCAAACAAGCTCTTGTAATTTATTAGGGTATGGTAATGTTAGGGCTTGTGTTGTTCATAATCATCCTTTTAATTGTTAACCTATAACAAGAATTTTGACCAATCAGTACTATCAGTTAAACTGTTAAAATATCCTGGGACATCAGTACCATCTGAGTGGGTATTGTCCACCGCAGGTCTCACAGTTAATAGACTGCGCTCCAGACTAATCCCACAGCATGTCGCTATGTTGCTATCTCTGAATAAAATCCAGTAGACAAGCCGGACTTTGCTGAGGACTAAGGTAGGCCTGGCTTGTTTATTTTATTTTGAGGTTTAATAACAGTCTGACTCTGTGTCGTGCGAGCAGTAGCCTGGCTGTTCACACCATAAGCACATTTCTCTGTGCAGGTCTAGAAGCAATCCTGCTCCTCTGCTCTATTTTTAATTAGCTGATCTTTACCATTTAACCTCATAGATTTATAACATGCAGTCTTGTGTAGAACTTCAGTTCTTTAAATGGTTATAATCGACTTTTTTTAAACATTTTTTTTATCCATTTCACACATGCTAGACTGAACTTCTCTGGTCAAAGAGCAAATATCTGCTCAGCTGACAAACTCGTCCACTTGGTCAACTTTCCCTTGTCCCTCAGTTCTATAAGAAACAAATGGACTTCCTGCAAATTGTTATTCATGTTCCTCACTGTGTGGATGTACAGAGAGACAATGGAGCTGGACTACATAGTCTTTCTGTTAGCTTTAACAGACTGGACACAATGGAGTGTTGTTCCTCCTGTGTGAATAGGAGGAGATGAAGCAAAGAACAACAGGGAATGGCTTGTTAAAACAAAATTCCTGCATGAATGTTATTCCAGCAATTTGGGACGATTCCATCTTTTCTCATTTCTATGCACTTTAACAGATCTCTTCCACAGCTGGAAAACAGAGGGTTGACAGCGAGCTTTCACCAAGAGCTTTCACTGACCAAAGTCGAGAAAGTTTAAACTTTTTGCCACACGTGTTAGTGTACAAAATATCACATACCGAGTGGTTAACATGCTAAAATTATGAATGCTGCATGCTAAATACCATCACGTTGAACAAGGTGGAGCCAAACTAAGATCGATAAATGCACTTGAACACAACAAGCTGAGTCCAAGATGTCCTAAAAAGGCCACCGTACAGAGGATTAAGGCAACAAATCTTTTTGAATCATCTGCTCACTGTTTTCTTGATTAATCAATAATCATTTGGTCTATAACGTGTCAGAAGGCTTCCCAAAGCCCAAGCTCACATATTTAAATTATTTTTTGTTTGTCCAAAACCCAAAGACATTGACTCTATTATAGAAGACTATGAAAACCAGCAAACATTCACATATGAGAAGCTGGAACCAGTGAATTAATGGGATTTTTGCCCTAAAATATGACTTAAATGATGACAATTAATTATCAAAAGTGTTGCTGAATTTTCTGTTGATCTGGTCTTTTCAACTAAAAAACAATTTTTTTGCTGTGTAATGAAATTGGCTCTTAGTCTTGTTGTATCCACAATGAGCTTGATTTCAGTGTAGTACAAGGAGTAAAGAGTCAACAAATGTGCTCATAGAGCTGCACAGCCACCCTGGATGCTGTCACTGTATCCACTGAGCCGACCGCTCATTAATTGTTAATGACAAAGCTTCAGGACACTGACAAAGTCTCAGTGATCGTGTATCAGGAGTTGGCAGTTGTGGTGGGTGTGGAATTGGGAGCAGATATACAAATGGGCTGCCCTGTATACCAGTAGATTACAGGATTGACATCAAATCAGTTAATATCACAGTGCAATTGAGCATAGGAGTAGAAGCCAAGTGGGTGAAGGTAACACTCCTTTTGGCTGATGCTGTTGTCTGCAATAATGTGGATGCAAATGTGCACATCTCTGCAGGAAATACTGAAATAAAAATAATTTTCTTACACCAAGTCTGGAAGAAAAATCCTCAATCAGATATCTATATATCTTTATATTCAAGTTGCATTGTTGGGTATCACCCGGGACCTTAAATGTAGGCTGACAAGACAACTGAAGATGTCATCTTCAGCCCGCACATTTTTTCACTACATTTTGCAAACTCACTGAACATTAGTTAGTTGAAAAAATATCCAACAGAATGAGTAATAATGAAAATTAGCAGGCAACAGCCCACAGCTCTTTTAGTCAGTGTACAGCAGCTCAGTTGAAAAGGCAAAAATGTCAAATTTGTCTGCAAACAAGTATAAAACCCAACATCTATGAAGAGCATTTCCACTAATAAATTAATATTGAATTTGTATGAAGTTGGCTTTTAAGGGAGCTGGTGATGGAGGAAATTATGTTTTTTTCCAGGAAACATTCTTGACAATTATTAGGAAATCAAAGAGTGTAAAATGAAGTGTTACCAAATATTGTGATGGTCTGTTTTGTATTTTAACAATATATGCAGCAATTATTTCATTAAGTTTTCTCTGAATGATTTCTATGTGTACATTAGATAGATAATCTGCCTTAATATTTTTTTCATTATGTTATAACGGACAGGCCTTGTAAGGAGGCAAAGGGTCAGCAGCAGGTGTATGTGCAGCTCTCAGGGGTGCAGTTATGCGTCTAATGTTTCTGTGGAGGCAGGAAAGTTCTTGCAAAGTTTCACCCCACTGCTTACTGTTTATTCTGCTCTCAAGAGAACATTTAGGATTTCACCTCCATGAACAAAAGGAACAGGCAAATAGAGGCAATTGTTGTGAAACTTCACAGGGGGGAACTTCCTCACTCTCCTTTGTGAAATCTGGGGGAAGTATCTCCTGCCTACTTCTCTTTCTTCAAATTTTCCCCAGTGTGCCAGCTAGTTGGTGTATGAAGGTGGATTTACTGTACCTCCCACCGGCCGTAGGTCATGAAGAACAGGGAGAAGGGGATGGCTGTGCCCGACATAGCATGTGTGGACGGCATGCTGTACTCCGAGTTGTAAAACATCTCCACTTTGACCACCGGCGGTGAAGCGGGTCGTGGCCAGCCGATCACATCCTTGGTGCACTGTCCCAGATACATGACCCAGACCCAGACCATGATCAGCCTCCTGCCCACGAAGGCGTCCAGGTTCCAGATGACGAAGGGGAAGAAGGTGATATAGAAGAGCTCGTTGCCCAGCTCGGTTCCGAAAGTGAATAGATAGTACAAGAAGCGGTTCTCGATCAGGAACTCCTGCCCGGCGTCGCCCGTTAGAGAGTTTCTGCGGAGGGGTTTCACCGTGCTGCTCCGCGAGCGACCCGGGACTTCACCGCCATTCTCGCTCCCCTCTGACTCGGTTGCCCCTGAAGAATCCAGCCCGGCTCCGCTGCTGCCGCCCTGAGCAGCGGCTGCAGCCCCGGCAAAGCTCCGACTGCTCCTGCCCACACCAACCGTTTCTCCCCCGGCGGTGGCTGCGGACATCACTGCCCCATTCTGGGGCGCATTTTCACTTTCCTCCCCGTGGGTTATCACAACATTCGACTCGGTAATCCTCTTCCGAACCCCCACCGCTGTCGTTTGTACTGTCTCCCCTTCACCAGCTCCAATGACGGCCAAATTGTCACTCTCATTTTCCCCGTTGATGTGATGATGGCAAGCCCCGTTGTTGTGCGAGCGAGTCCGGTCCGCTTCCTTGATGCTGCCGCTGCTGGTGGTGGCTGTACTACTAGCACAAACAGTTCTCGAAAACGTCCCCCGTACCCCACAAATGTCCTGGAAGCGGGCGACAAGGTGGGGGTCTTGGAGATATCGGAACGGCTCCGTGATCCAGTTACTTTCTCCCATGTTTAATCCGGTTTAGTCAACCACACACAGCCGAGAAAAGGAGCTCGGACACCGCTACTCTCCCCCAAACAGTGGATGCTAGTTTTCCGGCTAACGTTAGCTGGCTAGCCCGTGCATCATGGCAGAGTGACACTCAGAAGTGAATCCCGAGTCGTTTTTAAACTGAAACAAGTTATTATGACGACGAGTAGTATTATTCAAAAAAGAGAAGAACTACTGTTACAGTTGGACGGTAACGGAGAAACCGAACTGGACGGTTCTTGTTCCACACGGTCCAGGTGCGTTCAGTGCCCCACTATCTGAGTGGTCTCCTGTAACTGACAGGTCTATGCAGCCGTCAGTGGAGCGCGCCTTCTATGTTGCCTTTCATTGCTGTCGGAAATGTTGCAACTCCTCGTCCAGCCCCCAAGTTTGGTCACGTTTAAACGGACAGAAATTTAGGAATTAATCTTTCTATTTCCACTTTAGAGGTAAATACTTTATCCCACCATGTATTTGATAGATTTAGTTGCTTTTACAAAATAAGATTTCATTAAGTAATTTCTCATGGTTGTTAGGATTTGCTGCTTTTCATTGTAACTATTTTATTTTATAAAACAAAACAAGCATTGTGAAGGTGTCACTTTGGGCCCTAGGAAATTGTGACAGTATTTCTGACTATTTTCTGATTTTTTTTTCAAACCAAACAATGAATAGATCCATCAGCAGATTAATCCATTAACAAAATAATCATTAGTTGTAGCCTTATATAAAACCGTTATTAGCTATTATGTCCACCAACAACTAAAGCAGTAAATTCCTGCTTTTAAATTAATACGCAAGTCACAGAGACCATTTTCTGCACTGAGTACTTCTTAAAGTCAATTTTCCTGATTATACTTTAATACTTCTCACTTTAGTAACATTTCATCGTCCGTCCTCCATATTGTGGTCCTTCCTTGTGTGGGGACCCTGTGTCAGTCTTGTTTTATGACATTAAATGTTACTTAAACACACATGTAGGAGATGTTTTCAGATCATGTGCTTAAACTATTGAACACGGAAATGCAAGAAGACATCGAAATGTACACAATAATACAAACATGTCACTAATTGATATTATGTTGTTTCCAGGTTGGTGGTTGTTTAATGTGAATACTTGACAAGGCTATGAGTGCATTAGGAGTCAACTACGTAAAGTTTGTCTTTGGCGGGAGCACTTGAAGGCAACAGTAGTTCCGGCGCGCACGCAGTATAGACGTTCTGAAAACGTCATGACGTAACGTGTTCGCGCTTGGCGGTTTGTAGCCTTTTATTTTGGTCTGTAGCACAACAACCAAAACATTAGATAGATAGATAGATAGATAGATAGATAGATAGATAGATAGATAGATAGATAGATAGATAGATAGATAGATAGATAGATAGATAGATAGAATTATTGTAACTGCTACACAATAATGCATCAAAACACAAACAAATTGTCACCTTACATATTTTATTTGATAATCAATCACCTGAAAAAAAGTTTAATGGCCCTTTTTCAAAATAGTTAATCTTAAATATGGAATATGCATTTTCATCAAAATATAAATTCTTGTTTTAAAATATCAAGCTTCTATTTAATAGTTGCCTTCAGTTTGTTGTTGTGTTTTTTTTTTTAAATTGTAGTGATTGTTATCAAGATGCACATTTTTCAACTCAGCAAAACTCCCGGACAGAGACCAAACACTCAAAATACAGAAAGAGACACTAAAAAAGGATGAATCATTAATCACCGTTGTTATACAGCAGATTGGTCAGCTTTATAAAGCACACATTGTGCTGCATTAAATAATAAAATATCTTCTGACAATTTAGCAAAACATGGTCCCCTGCGCTGTTTTAATCAGGACTGATAGTAGGAAAATATGAAATATAATATCAATTTAAAGACATTCTGCTCTTTGATATTCAGCTTTTACAAAACAAAATAGCTGAAACTCACTAAGAAAAACAGTATTTGGTAGCAGAAAAAAACATTGTGACTTCTGAGAGCAGAAGAGGATGAGAAGAGATTTAATTTTCTTTTTTTAACCATAAAAAAGCAAAAGTATGACTCATTTCACCACAGAAAATTAATTTGCCTTTTCAGCAACACTGTACTTTAACCCCCTCTATTAAGCATTTAAAGTATATAAGTTACTATTCTAAGTTATACATTATAATGCAGTTACATGCAGATATAAGGACATTTTTAAAGAGTCTATTAATGTACAGTATTTGATCCAGTTATAACTTCTTCTATAAGGAAATATTTTATATCATTAAAACTGTATCTCACTGCTAGTCAATTATTATGTTTAGACAGCAGCCATTTATGGTTGCCTGCTGGAGGAGTTAAAGTTATTGACAAATACATTAATAAAAATTAATTATATCTGCTTATAACTGCATTATATTGTTATAAAGCATTTATTACATGTTTTGATACTGCTTATAAATGCGTAATGGGGGATTAAAATAAAGCATAACCATTTTTTTCTTATCATTCGCAAGAAGGGCTTCAAGATGAATTCTTTCACCAGCAGAGAGCAGCAAAGTGATGCAAAATGAAAAGAACCAACAGCATACTGATCGAACACAGGACGTCAACTACAGACAGGAACAGTCTGCCCACAGGCAGTAAATGCACCTCCAGAGAATGAGGATCTTGAGATAGCATGGCAATTCACACAGTCCAGGGAATGTTACACAGAATATTTCATAGATCACACAGTAGCATAAAAAGATAACATAAGCATATCAGCGCATATTCTCCATGCAAGCCAAGGTGCATCAAAGTTAGCTTGCAGTCTGTAAATCCCTGAATATGCTCACTGTTCACATGAGCAACAGTAACAATAAAAATCATTAACACAACAGCAACAGCAAAAAACAATCCCGTCTGCTCAGAGTCTGTCATGTTTGCACGAATACTAAATGGCAGTGACGCTGTGACAGAGTTTGACATCGACACCAGAGACCCTGTTGATCCTGAGGCAGAAGAAGAATCAGGGTTTCTCAGCTCCTTACAGCTGCTGCTGTCTCTTAGCAAGGTGACAAGAGGAGGCGACATCCTGCTGACGCACAAAACAGAGCCTACGACACATGACCCCCAAAGGTTTTCGGTAGTAAACCGAGGGAAAACAGCAGCAGCAGCAGCAGCAGCAGCAGCAGCAGCAGCAGCAGCAGCTTCCCTCCTGGGGATTTTGAACAAACAGTACGTGTTTGCATTTCCCAGCTTTGTGAACAGAGGCGTGTCAGTGAGGTCTGCAGAGTCAACCATTGTCGTCCAGGTTGTACAGAAGCACCTGGTGGTTGGGGGTGAAACCTGGGCAGGTACCAAGGCTGTACAGGCATCCGGCCGAAGGGTAACAGGGCACCAGCCGGTAATGCTGCAGGTCCTCCAGGCCAAACGCAGGAGAGCAGCAGTCCGTCACGAGCACCTTCACTCTCTTCCTGTCCGGGTACATCAGCCTCCGCTGCCCACCCTCTCCCGTAATCTCCTCCTCTTCTTCCTCTTCCTCTTCTTCTTCTACTTCATCCTCTTCCTCTTCCTCCTCCTCAGCCTCCAGCTCCTCCTCCTCATGGTGGATCTTCCTCAGCAGGTTGTTGATGAGGACGGAGCGCCGCAGGTAGGCCTCAGGGTCCTCCAGGAACCTCAGCTTCTCCAGGGACAGCTTCAGGATGCAGCTCCGGTCCTCCTGCAGTATCAGGTGCTGCAGATGACAAACGCAAAGGGCGGGGTATTAGTTTTAAACTTGACATTTGATCATTTAAAAGGAGGATATCAGAGGAATAAACTTATATTTGAAGTTGATACAAGCAGATAAAAGATTCTAAGCTGCAGCACAAAAGAACTAAAGTGTTGTCGTGTGTGCAGTCGTGATTCACATAATCAGAGAAAGTTCACAAAACAATATCTTGCACTTCTCAGGTCTAACTGACTCTTGAGCCAGATGTTCCGAATTTTATCAAACAGCCACATCTTTTAAGGATATCAATCTCAACACGAGCCATTTCAAAAGAGTCATGAAAAGATACAGAAAGTTTTTTGATTCAAAGCAATCTCCAAGTTGTACACACACAGCCTTAAAGCTCCAAAACCACTGTTTGTGATATAGCCGAGAATGGACAAGCAGCATGTGTGTATTTTTTGTCCTTTATGTTATTTATCTTTTTCCCTCATGTTGTTGTCAGAAATTAGTGCTGTACATTTGTTGTACTCTTGTATATATCTGAGGTACCGGAGTATTTACTTTTCATGCCACTGTGTACTTCTACTTCACTACATTTCAGGGGGAAATATTGCACATTTATCGGACAGCTTTAGTTAATAGTTACTTTACAAATTAATATTTTTACATACAAAACATATGAAGAACTTACAAGATATGATGCTTTGTTATAAATTAAACTACTCAACAGTATAGATGTAACAATACAGAAAATCTACTGGCAGATAATTGTCAAGCCAATTAATGGTTCCAGTTGCTCAAATGTGATTTGCACCTTCTCCTTTTAACGTTTTTTATTTATTTTTAATACAATTGAGCTTTGGACAATTGGTTTGATGAAACAAGTGCTGTGAAGCTGTCACTTTGTGCTCTGGGTTACTGTGACAGGCATGTTTCTCACTATTTTCTGAATTTTTACAAATCAAACAATCAATTAATTAAATGAGATAATAATCTGGGGATTAATCAATAATGAAAACAATCATTAGTTGCACAAAATAGTCAAAAATTTGCCGCTCCTCAACTACAACAGTAAACTGTTGCTAAATGTATGAGTAATAATAGTCTTATGGTCACAGGGGCCGTTTTTCTGCATTGCTTTTACTTTTAACACTTATACTTACATACAGTACTTTTACTTAAGTAACATTTTCAATGCAGGTCTTGTAATGTACTAATACATGATTGTTATATAATCAATCACCACAGGAGATACCATTCAGAACATCGGTTCACACTGAGCTGAAATCTGACACCTGGATTTTATTGTGAAGTGAATTCTGTCATGAATATAAAGGTGTCATCTGCATTGAAAGGCTACAGCTTTGGTAGTGACTTGTATGTAGAGACTGAAGCTGAAGGACAAGTGTAAAATTAATGTAACTCGGAAAAAAAGCACTGATGGAGGAGATAGATAGAAAAGACAGTTCAGACAGGTCAGGGTTCTCAGCACAGCAAATGAAATCTCACTGAAGCCTGGCCCTGAACGTCTACAGAAAAATGTGTGCAATTATTAAAAGGAACAGGTTCATACTTTTTGAAAATATCCGTGTAGGCCTCGGTGTAAATCCTCCTCCTCCGCATATTTCCTCTTGAAGTAAGCAACTTTCGACGTTGTTGAATGGTTTGGTCTCTCTCACAGGGAAGGGGCTGCTGGAGGAAAGAAAGCAGATTAGAGATTAGACTACAAATTGAACAGATGGAAGGCTGGGAAACATGTTTAAGTTTTAAAATG